CCCGCGCCACGCCTCCATTTTGAAAGGCGGGTGGGTGGCTCCACTGCCTCTGCGGCCGCGGCGAGGCGATTGGCGGTCCGCGGGCCCCAGCATCGCGATGGGCGGCGCTTGGCCGGGCAGCCGACGCTAGCGAGGGGTGGGGCGGGGTGAGGCTGGTGGGGGCGTCCCCACAGAGGGGTACAGTAGGCCCCAGCACCCGCGCCCGCGAGCCGCGAGCCTGCGACACGCTCTAACCCGCTCTCCCATCCCGTTGACGTTCACCCGCGAAACTCTTTCCTTGACCCTTGATTTACCATACATTTTCTTTAGGGGAATGCGGTTTTCATTTACCACTGCAATTTGATTTGGGGCTAGCCAATGTTCTTGGTTTAACGAATAAAATTTACTTCATTCAAAAACCCTTTTAATCTTGGGGGGGGGCGGTGTACGTACATTGTTTACACTCAAAGGGGCCCGTCCCGTCACACACGAAGCAGAATATAAGCGCGTACCACTACCGCCATCCGCAACGCACCGTGACCATTTGCTTCATTTCTCAATGTTTGTGTGTATTCTGCAATCTGCTCGTGGATCAATCTAAGAACACACACACACACACACTCTCCCTCTCTCCCTCTCTCCCTCTCTCCCATACACACAGACGCACACATCCTCTTATCCGCTCGCACTTGCAGGACTTTGGGCGCATGCGTTTAATACTCGCGACTCGCGCCGTGGCCCGCCCCACCGCGGGGGGCCGCCAGTGAGCGAGTGCGAGCCGAGTGCGGGCCGATAGCCGGGTCTTCTGGTTTTCGTGGTCCTTTCCTCTGGCGTGGCAGCCGGCCCTCGAGTTGGTTGCGAGGTAGACCTGCGCGCAGGAGGGCCCCGCAGCAGGGCTGCGCTGCAGGAGCCGGTTAATTCCGATAATCACCTCGAATATCGCACCTCCCCTACTAAACCTTGTTCTTTTTCCCCTTTTTCAATTTCCTCGCGGTCTTCGCGCCAGTCACGCACGCACCGCGCCACGCTGCTCCACCCCGCGAGCTGTTTGACTTATCGTCGTGTGTTTCCAGACAAGTTAGGCAGCCAATTAGGACGGTACCCCACTCCTCCCTTCTTTGCACCACGAAAAAATTATTGAAAAAATAATTTTTTATATGGATTGGAAGTGTGTTTCCATGGTGTATCTTACAGATAACGAACCTGGCCCGGTCTCGCGCTGTCCGACTCTTTGCTCACGTCCACGTCAGTTGCGTTCGTCCCCCCTGGCAGCAAGGCGGGCGGCCCGGTTGCTTGCTAGTTGGAAATAATTGTCTATGTTGCGTAAATAAATGTCACCTATTCACGCCCTGCCGCTGCCCGCGCAGCTCCGCGGCAAGATGCGCTGAACATGCATGTTGGCAGCAATGTAGAATGTCCCTGCCGGTCCTCCTGCGAGTGCCTGCGGGTCCCTGCGCGGGCCCCTGCTTACTGGAATGCCAAGCCCGGAGCCAGCGCGTGTGCGCGCCGCGGAGATTGACTGATTTATTGGGCAGTGGCGACGAAAATGTATAAATCGTTAACAGCAGCAGCAACAAGGATGTTTTATCGTGTGCGACGGGGAGGCCCGCACCTCATCTGGGGGGCTGTGGATGGACCCCGGGTGCTAACAAAGTGCTTGCGTTGGGCGCAACAACAACAACAACAACAACAACAACAACAACAACAACAACAACAACAACAACAACAACAACAACAAAAGGTAAAAGAGTGGAGTATTAATTTGAATGCAAAAGTGGTGAGGAGAAGGAAGAATTCGGGTTTTTGGTTTTTGGATCTCATTTATCCCACGGCTGAGAATTCGCCCATTTTTGCTATGACTTTAGAAGTGTAAAATCACCAGCCTCGTGTCGTATTAATTTTCTCCTAGTTTAATTGGGTGTGAAACAAATGAGAACGAGTTTAGGAG